TTATCTCTCTTGGACATTTGCTATCATCAATGTTATTATTAGTGGATCTGGATCATTATCATACCTTCCCAATTGTTTACAATCAGTGCCAATGGATTAATAATATTATTATTTATTTAATTTTTGCCACACTATATTAAAATTTACTCTCATTATCAATTAGCAATAGTGATTACCAATAATAAAGGTAAGGATTAATAGTTCTAAAGATAAGAATAGAACCTACGTTGATAATTGAACCGAAGCTTGCAATAACCATAATGGGTTCACTGGAGATCATGAATAGTATCGAATTTCAAATTAGGGTAGTAACTATAAATCGTTTAATAATGAACTGATACCAGCTATATGCTATCAATATAATAATGGGATTCAGGGTGCGGCTGTAACGATAAATAATTTATGGAATTCTCTCCATAATAATCGGTGAACTACATAATCCATTTTTATTTGATTGTGAATTCTCTGGCAATAGATTTATGCGATCTTATAGGATATTGATCAGTTAATTATAATGATCATCAATTAAACCATTACATTATTATCTTAGCCACGAATCATATGATCGGATTTAAAAATGGATTAATAATATTATTATTTTATAGTTAGAAATTTCTATTCTAGAATATTCCAATGATTCATAGGATTATATCACCATCAAGTAATTTCTACTTTAAATACCCTAAATTGGAATGCATTTGACCTATTTTATAGGATAGGGATAAATTATTTATATTCATTATTAGTTATCTTAATATTCCAATCTGTTCTAGCATAATTAGAAATATTAAGATAGGATCATATTTACTGCTAATAGGATTATAAGTATCATTGCATTATTATTATACCTATTATTAAGATCGAATAAAAGGAGGGGATATTCCAATAGAACAATCAAATAATGCTAAAGAGGAAGAGAAAATGGTTGAAGAACAATGACAAATATTAATTAATTATAAAATTATCAATGGAGCCTATGATTATATCGATAAATCCTATGATTATTAATTGATCCGATCATATTGTTCAAAATCAGTAGTGGTTATTAGTTATATTACTATTCCAATAGGTAAGATCTTAGGTATCAAATAAAGTGGAGATCATTAAAATATTACCCGCTAATCTCGCCACATCGAGATTTTAAGTGATCATGAGATAATTCACGAGATAAACATGAGAAGATTATAAGTAATTAAAATGCTTTATTTTTATCAGCCTTTGCCGCTTTGGTCAAATTTTCACGGATTTAGACCAGAAGATAATACCGATTTGGTATAATTTTTTCGCTATTAGACCATCAGGGTTCATAGCAATGGTCTATCTTTATTATATTTAGACCAAATTAATTTAAAATTATCAATAATTATTTTTTCTATTTTTATCTTTTATCAATGGTGATATTAGTATAGTGATTACTGATCAAATATAATGAATAATTTTAAATATATCATTATTAATTAATAACTAATGTAGCCAGGCTAGCCGAGGAGGCGGCCTCAGCTGGTGGGACTAATTAATAAGCTATTTTCTAGGTCGGTGGAGTAAAAGATAAGATATTAAAACTACATGGTCAATGAGATTTAGGATTTATTTTTATGATTTATGATAATATTTTCTGGGTTCAGTGTAATAACACCTTATATCATTTAACCGACCAGGTCGATAAGATTTATGATTTAGATTTCTTTGGGGTTCCCATGGGTTAGGAAATTAACATTTAGTTTCTAGCCTCTTTAAAGACATTAGTTATCAATTATGTGGTGGATAAGCTAAAAATAATAAAATAATAAATATTGATAATGATCCAGTCCAATTATAATAGCAACTTTCAGCTTCCTTTCTAACCATTATAAAATGACGCAAATATACTCTCTAGGGGGGTAGGATATACGGCTAATACTAGCCTATCCTTACCGGTCGTATTTTTGCTTTCTCTTAGTCATCCTCCATTTTATTGCTCTCCTAGGTAGGAAGTAGGAATGAATAATGATCGGTCATGCTCCTTCGAAGGGTGGATCATAGGATAGAAATTCGATTATTTATGTGGTTGATCAATAATGTGTATTACTCCTGTTGAGGGAACCATGTAATTAACTCCACTGCCTCGGAGGCGAGCCTAGGCTCCCGCCCTTCTTTACCTTATTTTTATTTATTTTATTTTATTTATTTATTAATCCGATATTTAAAATATTGAACACCATAAAAATGTAATATAAGATATTATACCGATGGGAGGCCCAAATAAATCGATTTTACTATTATTATTATTATTTAATTTATTTGTATCATAATTATTACCGCTCATTCATTGACTGGGTCAATTATCAACTGGTATACTAATATAACTAATAGTAATCCTGATAATTAGTATTATTTTATTAAGGATGGCAGTAAATATGATGCCATTAGATAATGGGACACTATAAAATATTTTCTCTTATCACCATTAATAAATATGCTTGTAAGTAAGCGAATAATAATTAGGGCGATACCAATATAAATCGATCCAATCATTGGCAAGTACATTAAATATTGATCATAGCATGGTTATTATTATTATAATTATTATTATTATTGGAATTATTAATATTTTTAGCCCTATTGATCGGTATAATATGGTTAGTTACCTTATTATTATTATTATTAAATTAATATGCATATTATGTTTGGCTCTTGTTATTTGGTTCTTTATTATTATTATTAATAGGTTCTAAAATAATTTTTATTATCATTATTAATATTTTTACTCATATTCGACTATTGGTTAAGATCGCTATTGATTATTATAATTATTATTATCATAGCCATTTAGTTAATATGGTTTAGTGCTATTATTATTAATCTGGGAATTGCTTGGAATCGTATAATTACCTTAAGGATAATAACCCCACCGATGATAATTTTAAATTCTATACTATCTGATTGGACCTCTTATTGATCGAACTATCCAGTATTATCATTATAAATATTTTTATTTTTATTCTTATTTTTATTAATTCTGATATTTCTTATTCAATAGGCTATCATAGCGATTTAACTATAACAAATATAATCGATCATATTGCTTATGGTTCAATGGGATTTGACCCAGTAAATTATATAATATTTTCTCTTATCACCATTAATAAAAATGGATGATCTAGTTCAATGGATAGAATCGATATTACCGCGGCTGATTTAAATTTTAATATGCTTGCCCTTATCTTTATAACTATTTATCGCTTAGATATTATTGACATTGGCGGTCTATTTATCCTATTATTATTAATCCTATTATAGGTATAAATTTAATTACTACCATTATTAGTATGAATGGTATGCCACGGAATAATGGGCATTACCGCGGCTGTTGGATTTTTATTTTTATCCTTACCTTTATTATTTTTATTTTATTTATTTTTGTTATCTGAAATTATGTTATTTGCTTATCCTATGGATGAATGGTGGCTATAATAAAGATACCAAATTCTAATAGTGCATTCCCTGTTAGGGACTAATAGCATTACATATCGTCATCGGTATACCATCATTACTCCTATCATAATTATTATTGGATAATGCTATCCTCAGCTAATTATTATTATAGTAACGATGTTATTAGTCGCTTGTACCATTGAATGGATCAACTAGACCGACTTAGAGGTCAATCGATTTATCACAGCATGGTTATTATTATTATTATACCCATTACTAATAATCAGTGGAGTCATCATCAATTAGGCTATTATACTCATTAGAATAATAATACATAATAATGAATAGTTATTAGTTATATTATCATACCCTATCCTAATAATAATAGACCGATCATAATTATTAGTGGTAGATATGATCACTGGTCTTCCAATCCATTAGGATGCATTTTATTGGTATGAATGGTAGCCACCTCGGTACCATTGCTAAATTATTTATCGGTGCAGTATTAGCAGTGGTTTATATGATCCAATCTATTGAATTGACTACTGATCAGAATCCCATTATTGTATTGATATTATCTAACCAATCACTAGTCCATTATTAATATTTGATACCTAATAATCACTATTGATCTTGCTATTACCTAATGGGAGATATTTAAATGATATTCGTTCCTAATAATGATTCATTTATCAATTAATTAATCGGTTGTACCGGTACATTAGATAATACCTATCATTATTATTATTGTTATTATTATACTCGCTATGATCATACACCAGCTTATTTACTTGCTATCCTCTTATGGGCTCTAATCTTATTAGCATTTCATACCATCATTATTCATTCCTACCAATAAATAGTTATTATTATTAGGAAGATCACCGCTATCCTCTAACGATAAATTATTAGGAACGGCAATAAATTTAATTTTATCATTTTTAGTTCGACCTGAATTTGATTATTCTAACGATTGGTATACTAATATAACCAAAGATCGTTTTGATACCGTCATTATTATTATTTATTTATTTAATTATTTATTGGTTTAATATTATTAATATTTCTGCCCTAATTTGGTATTATAATTACTATCAGTTAATGACCACATTTTATTTACTTCTCGCATTATATGTTCGATACTTTGAAATATCATTATTACTTTAAAATGGATTAATAATATTATTAATGATCCTAGCGATGTTGATGATGGTATATTAATCAAAATCTTAGGCTAGCCTCCCTAAAAATCTGATGATTAAAATGCAGTTAATAATCATTCTATTTATTATCCAGATGTGATGGTTCAATTCCACCCTTATTGAATTAATTTTAAATATATCTATTATTTACTATTAGACTGGATTTCAGGTAATCAGTAGTATAATCGAATTATTTAAATAGTATGAATTTTAAATTTAAGACAGAGCATCACCTGTTACACTCGGTTCCACCCCTTAAATCGATCTAATTTTGATCAAATAATTGATATCTAATTGGTCTGGATCAGCCTGCTAGGAATCCTACAGGTGATACAAGTGATCTAATGTTTGATTTACTAGAACTAGACCAACGAGATAAATGGCATGATGTAGTTCAATGGATAGAACATCGGTCTCCAAAACCGGTAAAGTAGGTTCAATTCCTGCCATCCCTAGGATTATAAGCTAAATTGGAATGTAATTTCCAGTAGCAGCAGTGAAATGTTAGATTTACTAGAACTTCCCCATCATTCTTGCTCATAATGCACTCCCCTTTTATTAGATCTTAATTATTGATTGGTTATTATCATACCAGATAGTTCTTTGACTCCTCTTTGATACTATATCCTCCTTTAAAGCATTAGATTCTGTGGAATATTCCCATGTAGCTTCCTTCCTGCTCTTTATTGCTCTCCAATTAGCATTTCAAGTTATTGATGATGATTAAATATTTTACTCCCTTAGAATTAATTTTCAATATTTTTATTATTATCATATTTTTATTAATATTGAATTATTAGGTTATCTCGATCTGGAGTTCCGTTCCTAACATAATGTGGATGATTGGTTAGATAATATCGATGGTAATTTCTAATGAGTGGTGGATCTTTAATAGCAGGATTGATAATTGAATGGTATATTCCTAAGAGTTTATTGGGTGCGGAATCATCATCAACAGAAAATCGGCCCAATTTTTATTTTTATTTTTTATCCTAATTTTTTACTCACCATTAGTTTTGGCTCCTTGTCTCCTTATTTTCCTCTTATTACCAGTGGATTATTACGTTATTAATTAATATTTTAGCTGGTTCTTTATCAGTAGCCTACCATATAATAAGATCGAATAAAATAAGCTTAGTGACCAATATGACCGATTAGTTTAGAGACCGATAACTAATAGATAATACTGATCCGGATTTAAAATTTAGAATTTAAATTTATTAATTCCTGCTGGTTCAAATCCTACCCGTCGGATTTATTATCATAATTGATTTTTACGTTATTCTATTTTATAGGGAATTATTCTGACGGGTCCCCCCTGACCAGAAGAATAAGGAAAGTAAAATATTAGTTAATATAGGGTATAATCTAGTTAAAGTAAAAATCCCTTCTCCTTGAAGCTCTTTGCCTCTTAAGAGGGAGGAGGCTAGGTAGGTGATATCATTACATTCACCACCAGAATCCCATTAATAGTATCTAATCAGTGTTCCACTATGACGCAAATATACTCTCTCGGGGGAAGGAACTTGGTTTACAAGTCGTTCCTTCGGTCGTATTTTTGCTCTCTAACATTAGAAATCACATTCCCTCCCTAATTGCATTTACTATCAATAATAAGCTAATGTCTTTAAAGGATTATACCTAATAAACAGGTGGATTATATGGATACCATAGGCTACCACCAGCTATCTTCCCCATTGGTTACTCTCCAATTATTTGAGAACGAATCCAAAATCCGGTAAAGTAGGTTCAATTCCTGCCATCAATAGAGATAAGAAGAGGCTCTTTTACTTTAGACCCATTGATTAATAAAGCATATACGGATGGAGTCTTTTCATTGAGAGGTATCAACTCTATTGCTACAGCTGTGGTTAATCTTATTCTCCATCTGCTCCTTAGGAATTAATTTAAAATATATCTATTATTAACACCATAAAAATGGATGATGTAGTTCAATGGTAGAACACTACAACCTATCAATTGAGATAAGGGAGAAATTTAAAGGGTATGGGAGGCTAGCCTCTAGGAATAATTCATTCTAGGATCTGTAAAGTGGATATTAAGTAAATGTTCTAATGGATATTACCTACTCTAAATGAGAGATATAGGATCAAAAGGGGCACTTGCTTTACCTGAACTCTCTCCTTATGAATTAATTAATATGTCCCATTGTCTTATGGTTCTAACTACATTTTTTGAAGGTATAAATCCAATATGCCTCTTAGGAGGCTCGCCTCCCAAAAAATCTGATGATTGATTTAGAACCCAATAAAATAGATGATGTACAGGGCTCCACTGCTTATGATAAATCTCTATCCTTATGAATTAATTAAAATATTTATAATCTCCATCTTATAGAATGAATGGTTGTAAGTAAGCGATTAATTGTTCCTAAGCTAAGTAGTGGTAATGTTCTTTAAGGATGATAAACTGAAATAATTCCATTCAGATATAAAATTAGCTGGTACCAGTTGGAATATTAAATCATCAAACAGAAATGGAAGATCCAAAGCTAATGTGATTGGTTCGATTCCATCTCGCTCCTTAGCCTTATCTTAAGGGGAAATTACCACTACTAAATCTTGGATTCCTCGTTGTTCTCCACATCCCTTCTGAACACTACTAGGAGGTCCCTATAAAATCCTTTAAATTGATAGGCTAAAGCACTTGTGGTCCACCAGATTTTCATTGCTGGTGTTCAATTATAGGCTAGGGTACTAGTAAAATATCTTATTTTCCCCCTTTTTCATTATATTTATTGGGGCTACACCCTAAAATCTGATGGGGTATGGGCTTGCCCTAAGGCAAGGCCTGAGGCAGCCTCCTTAGAATTAATTTAAAATATTGAAGAATAATCTCCTTGCAAGGCTCCCTAAAATCTATGGGAGGCTCCTTCCCATTCTACATTTACGGAGATTAATTATTGGCTCTATTAATAAGGAGTATAAGAGCGATGGTGAACAAGGTAAAATAGCTAAAATTGGTCTCTAATAGCAGATGGTACCTAGAATTGGTTGGTCTAGTACTTGATAATACCTGATTTCTTCCCTCCCGCCATAACCCGAGGGAAGAAATTGGGGAGGGTGAATGA